CCTGGCCCCTTCGTTTGGTTAAGTGTTCAACCTCATTGTGCAGATTGGATTCCATTACTTCATTTATCTGGCAGCTATACTCACCATTACATTGACAGATATTGACAAAGGGCTCTTCATACACTCTCACTTGATAAGCCCTCTCAGTTCCTAGTAAATTAATTACCGTATTGATGGGCTCCATGATTTTTGTTATAATCCTTACTTTGCCAAACATAAAATGTTTACCTCCCACTGTATCTTCATCGTACTGAACTACATCTCCCCATACCTTGCCAATCGCTTCGAAGGTCTTGATATTTCAGAGATTGAGAGGTACTCCCACACAAGTGAGCCAGATACATCTATCAAGTTCCATTAACTTCCCTTCTTCCCATTCGCATACTTCATCACTCCAGTCATGAATCCACTCCTCCATTCTCACTCGTGCTTCCTTCTTCTGCTGATTTGAGCTAAAAGATAGAATTGCCTGCTTCCCTCCTACTTGTCTAACTACCACATCCTTATCAATCCTCTTGTAGATCTCATTCCTAAAGTCATGGAAGGAGAAAAAAGCTTTGAGCTTGACCAGGACACTATCATATAACCACCCGTTCCCAACCTCCACAGCTCTAACAGACACATTTTGATTGCCATATTCTCCTCCATTTTGTCGTCCAGTTTGAACTACTTCCGCATATGACTTACCTTTGATTCGCATCATAGGTTGGACAGGGGTCCACTGCTTTTTCTGCACCATACCTCCCTGCTTAGCATTTGTGAGCATCTGTCTACTTTGATTGGACTTGCTAAACTCAGCCAACTTTACCCTCAATGCCCTGTTGTGACACCATAAGCCATCAGCTTTGTGCACTGCCATCTCTGCAGCCACCTTGCAATCGTACCTAACAAATCCAAATCTTGTTCTTGTTGTTTTCCTCCTTTTCCCTGGTATGAAGACATCCTTCACAACTCCAAACTTACTGAACAGATTAAATAGATCTCTAGGGGTCATGGCCTCTGGTACTTCATCAACGAATAGAGATACCAAGTCATTCACCCTTGCTCGACCATTTTGCATACCCATCCTCCGTTTTCTGAGAACCGTTATTTATGATAGACACTCAACTATTTTATTCTTATCGTATATGTATTCATAAATTGTTAACCATTTAGTTGCAAATGTGTTATTTTATACAAGTAGAACTAATTTTAAACAAATTTTATTTATAAAATAATTTATTACTTGAACTTTGAGTAAGTTATCATTATATTGTTAACGGTGACAAAATTCATGAAAGTCGTAATTTTAAATTGAATCAAACCACATTTTCATAATTCGATTTAGTTTTTTTGATTTGATTTAATTCTAAAATTTTTATGATTTAATTTAATTTTGAATTTTATGAAATCATAGGTAGTGTAATAGTTTGATTTTGATGTATTTCAAGGGTGAAGTACTAATAAATTTAAAAATATGATCTTATGAATTGTTTAGTTTTCTATTTTTTTTTATGAACCCAAAAGTTCTATTAAAGTGGAAATTACACAAAAGAGTAGTTACTTACATATTTGGATTTAATTTTTTAAAAATAAAAGTGGGCTTTCTCCAAATGTGAAATTACACATTTGGTTAATCCGAACTGTAGAGGCTTCCACATTTTGAAACAAAGCTCACATTATGAATAAGAATATAACATTCCAATATAATATACTAAAAAACTCCATAGGTAACACTCCAATCAATGTAATGCCAAACGTAGCATTCAAATGTAACACACAAAAATGCTAAAAAAATTCTTAGCATACTTTTTCCAACCGTAACACTTACAATTTGAAATTATACATTTGTCCAAAACTTACTACGAAATTTATGTACTCATTTTCGAATGGGTTGAAGAATCCTGCATCCTTTTTTTTTAGTGTTACGTTTGAAAAAATACACTATGAAGCTTTTTTAGTGTTACATTGGAGTATTACACTAACAAATTTTTTTGTTTGTTTGTTTTTGTTTTTCTTTTTGTTTTTGTTTTTCTTTTTTTTGTTGGAGTATTACATTTGAAAAAAAATATACGAAGAAATTTTTTTAAAGTCTTACATTAGAGTGTTATACTATGAATTTTTTTTTGAAATGTTATATTTGAAAAAAGTATACTAACGAGTTTTTTTGAAATTTTATATTTGAGTGTTACGTTTAGAAAAAATACATTAAGAATTTTTTTTTTTTTTGAAATCTAACATTAGAGTGTTACGTATAGAAAAAGTATCATAAGGAATTTTTTTGAAGTCTTATATTTAAGTATTACACTAAAGAGTGTTTTTTTTTTTCTTTTAACCCACATTTGTTTAAAACTTACTAATGAGTTTTTGTATTTATTTTGAAACGTTAAAAAATCTCACATTTCAAGTCATTTCAAATAAAAAAGATTCTCATATAAAAAGTAATCTCAAATTTGATTATCATAGATGATGTATCTTACTTTTAAAAAAGAAGAAGATATAATCGTAAATTTAATTTTTAAATAATATATTAAATCCCTCTTTTCAAAATTAATAAAACTAATTAATTTATAAAAAAAATCTTAAAATTAAATGAATCACCATTTCTTATGGTGGGATTTGGAAGTAAATATTTGGAAGTAAATTTTCATTATTTCACAACCAAATCCAACCATGCTCACTAGGTCAAACCAATGATTATGCAAGTGGAAACGTGCTCCGGTGAATAATTTCTCAGTACTGTGGAACTAAGGTTGCATTATAGATTTGGGAAATAATTTAAAAAGAAAAATGAAAAATAAAAAATGAAAAAAATCGTATGAAATATATAAAATATAATTCTATTTTATCTATATTTTAAAAAAAAAAGATATAATTAAAAGACTTAGCTAAGCGGTCATTTTTAGTAAATTTGATTTAAAAAGTGAATTTTGGTAAATACAAATTCACCCAAAGGATCATTATAAAACTGCTTTCACTACCCTTTTTGGGCATTATGAATGGAATGTCATGTCCTTTGGATTAAAAAATGCTCCTAGTGAATTTCAGAACATAATGAATGACATTTTCAATCCCTTTAGTCATTTTTTCATCGTTTATATAGATGATAATCTCATTTTTTCTAAATCCCTCAATGAACATTGGAAACATCTTACTGCTTTCTTCTATACATAAAAACTCATGGTCTAATTATTTCTGCTTCTAAGATTAAACTATTTCAATCCAAAGTCAGATTTTTAGGATATGACATCTACCAGAATATAATCTTACCTATTAGTCGATCCATTGAATTTGCTTCTAAATTTCCTGATGAAATCTTTATATTTTATCTATATTTTACTTATTTATTTTAATTTTTTTTTAAGTATCTATCTAAATTCATGAACCAAACACAGAAAAAAAGATTTGAGATCCAAGAGAATAGGGGTGAGTATGGTTCGGATTTGTTCAGTTTTGGATAAAACCAGAACAAATTTGTTATCTACGGTTTCATAAAAATTAGAACAAAACAAACTCATTTAAATCATGAAATCAATCCGAACCAAACCATTTAGACATGGTTCGGTTTGGTTTGAAATCACGGTTCCACATAACATGTTTACAAGAAAAATCATATAACATTTACCAAACAAACTAGTATTAAACAAATATTGTTCAATATTAATCTATCTATGATTTTTTTTGAAACATACACATATTATTCTACAATTAACTTAAACAAACATAATATCTAGCAAATAAATATATTGCTCAATATGTGACAAATATAAAACTCCCATCAACTAAATTTTATGGGCGGCAATAGCAATTACAAAATTAAAATTATGTTAAATAATTTAAAAAAACAGTTAATGGCCTGGAATAGAGAAGAGAAAACCGAAACCATATAAAGGATTTGTTTGGAAAGTGGATTCACTTTTTGACTTTTTGAATTTTTTAGTTATTTTAGCGTGGGGTTAAAAAGTCTCGTTTGGAAAATATTTTTGGTTTTTTTAGTTTTTTTGTGAGAGAAAAAATATAATAATTATGAGTTGGATGTGATATTTTGTCTTATTAGACTAAAAAGTTTATTTTATTTTTTGTGATTAAAATAGTCAAAAAAAAGTCTTAAACTTAACTTTCCAAACAAAGCCAAAGTTTGGTTTGGTCTTTATATATAAGAGAGTAAGATTACACACATAAGCGTATATGGTAAATATATGACTTAAGTTATATACCGTTTGGTTTTAATTTATAATCATAAATTTAAATTCGAAACCAATCTACAGAGGTCGATTTTGTAATTTTTTAAATCAAAACTAAATCACAAATTAAAAAAAAAAAATCAAACCTATCAAATTAGATTAAACAAATTCGGTTCATGAATTTTTCAGATTCCTTACCTAACCTAGAAGAGAATTCACCTGGTGAAGGCAAACAACCCGAGCCAAGGTTCTCTCCTTGCAGTCTCGTATTTGCATTCATCTTTATAGGTTTTCGGGTCTACTTTTAGGTCCAATTTTAATAATCCGAACCGTTCATATTTTATGATTTATTCAGTATATCATACTTGTAAAAAATCAAGTTGATCGGATATCAGAAAGCATATGTTCAGAAAACTGTTTATTAAATTCTTTAAAAAATAGTTTTTTGTTCAATTTTTCGAACACATACTTTCTGATATCCGATCAACTTGATTTTTATAAGTATGATATACTGAATAAATCATAAAATATGAACGGTTCGGATTATCAAAATTAGGCCTAAAAGTAGACCCAAAGGGTTGCAAGGACAGGCCCAAGTACAAGAGCCGCAACGAGAGGATTCTCATTCAAACGACCCTGGCCACGTCACTGTACGGATAGACACAAATCAGGAGGATCCTTAGCAGTGGAGGTACAGAAGGTAAGGTTGGAGTGGAAGCAACGGAATTCAAAAGAAGAAGGCCGCGTGGGACCAAACCTTTACATTTTCTCTCTCTCTAGAAAAAGTCTCACTCAAATCTTTTTCTAGCTTCTTATAAACCCACCTCCCCTCCCTCTCACCTCTCAAATCTCACACAAAACAATTCTCTCCTTTTTCATCTTTTGGTTCTGTTCCACGTCTTCGCCATTCGCTGATCACCAAAAAATAGCGATACAAGCAACACCTTCTGCTCCTCCTCAAAGCTGCTCGCTCTCTCTGAGATTTGAGATGGGTTTATTGTGTTTTGTTCTGTTTTGGTTTGAAGGTATTGGCAATTGAAAACCAATCCAGATTCGAAAAATTGGGTCTTGTTTTTTAAATCTCTGACCAAATTACAATCTGGTTATTCAATTTTACTACTTTTTCTCAATTGGGTTTTCAACAAAATTTGATTTTGATCTTGTTTCTTCTTTTGATTTGGTGACCCATCTCAAACAATCTCTCAATCCCCTGTTTTTCAGAACCATCAGGGTGGTTTTTTTCATTTAAATTTCCAGAGAGCGAGCGGCTTTGTTTGTTGAATTTGGTGGTTTTGTATCAAATGGCAGCACGAAGGAACAGTGTCAAATCAAAAAAAGCTATTGAAGAATCACAAAAATTGGCCCAGATGGAATGGGAAAGAGACCAACTGAAGAACCTCGAGAGCCATCAATGGAAGTCAGTTTTTGATCAAGCTTCCATGTCATCTAGGCCTCTCAAGAAGATCAAAAGTCCTGATCGCGAAAACCAGTCTCAACCCTCTGTTTCTTTACCTCAACAAAACCCACCTTCTCTCTCTCTTCCCTCCTCTGTTCCTTACAGTTGTACCACATCGATACCTTTCCCTCCTACCTCTTCAAGGCATGTTTTTCCTTTCGCCTTTGACGGGTCTGAACAATCCATGGAAAATTCACACCAATTCAGAACAAATCCCCAGACTCTGTTCCATCCACCAACACAAAATCGTCAAAATATGATTTCTTTTGCTCCCCAACAACAGGGCATAGGCTTTCCACCGTACTTCGCCGGAGACTCGGCATCATTGCAGCAACAAATGCTTCAGTATTGGAGTGATTCATTGAATTTGAGTCCAAGAGGACAGATGATGATGATGAACAGGTTGGGACAGGGCAGTGGGGGCTTGTTTAGGCCTCCCATTGCTGCAACAAGGCTCTACCGGGGAGTGAGGCAGAGACATTGGGGCAAATGGGTAGCCGAGATTCGTCTCCCTCGAAACAGGACTCGCCTCTGGCTAGGCACCTTCGACACTGCCGAGGAAGCCGCCTTAGCCTACGATCGCGAGGCCTTTAAGTTGAGGGGAGAGAATGCTCGGCTCAATTTCCCCGAACTCTTCCTCAATAAAGACGGTGCAGCATCGACAGCACCGCCTAGTTCTTCGTCCTCAGCATCTGAAAATTTGGTATCTAAGAAGGGCTCCAAGAAGGCACAGAAAGCTAAAGAAGGCCTTAATTTGCAGGGTACACCTAAAGAAGAGAATCATGATGATGATTCGGGATTGGGATCGACAGTGAGCGATGAAGTTCAGGGAGTAGGAGTGGGGATGAGTGCAGGGGAAGGGGGTTCATCGGTGACATCTGAATTGGTTTGGGGTGAAATGGGAGAGGATTGGTTCAATTTGATACCAGCTGGTTGGGGTCCAGGTAGTCCAGTTTGGGATCATTTGGACACCTCCAATAATATGATATTGCCTTCAAATCTTCATTTTCCAAATGCAAATCATCACCAGGAATTGAGTGACTATGATACCCAGCAAAGTAACATGGCATCGGGATCATCTTCGTCCTTTTGTCCTATGAATTCCTTTTTCTGGAACGATCAGGACTGAATCTTCACATACAAAACCTGCCTCTTTGTCTTTGCACACACACACACATGCACATTCTCTCTCTCTCTCTCTCTCTCTCTCTGAATTGGAGAAAAGTTTTTAGACAATCTCCACAGATTTCTTCGCCGGGTTGCAAAATTTTTCGGAGAAACAGCCTGTGATTGCACCACTTCTCAATTTTTTCCTTTTTGGTTGATCCCCACCTTTCATTCCTCAGTTTCCCTCTCACTGATTGCAGATTTTTGTGTGTGGAAGAGACAACCTGTGATTTTTCTATTGTTGCTTCTTTTGCTATACGACTATTCTTCAGTCCTACTCAGCCTTTTGACTTCAATTTCAATCCCATCTGCTGCATATATATAGGCTGCATATTTTAGGCCTTTTGACAGTAGCAGTTCGTTACATGCATTAGAGGCCATGCCTCTATGGTCTCTTTAGTGGTAGTAGTAATGTTATCTTTAGGTAGTATCAAGTATGCTGTTGCACTAGCTAGTGTGTTTTTAGTTGTGTTTGGCTGTTGATGTTCAGCTTGGAAGGAGACAGTTTTGTGATCTCCTCCATTGTTTCCATCCACCGCAAGCTCTATTTTTTCGGCTTTGAGGATGGGAACAGAACAGTTTGTGGCTTTTGTACATTGTGAGATATATGTTATCATATCAATGTCGTGTTTTATGTTTCCTTTTTTATAAACTAAAACCATTATGCATAATTCTTGTGACTGGTGTTTGATGTTTATTTTATACCCACATTGCTTGTGAAGTATTTGTATTGAAAATCAAATTGTGTTGCAATGTCAAATGTTATTAAAAATGAAGTGAAGTCTTATGTCAAACACCAAGTGGTTTGAAGCTAGATAGTAGAACTATTCAACAAGTGGTAACAGAATTATATAATCATGGTTTAGTAGAACTCAATTCAACAAGTGGTAATAGAATTATATATAATCATGGTTTAAATCGCGGGATTGCAATCATGAGGAAGGGAATTATATAATCATTGTTTAAATCGCGAGACCGTAATCATGAGGAAGAGATTATTCATGTACACGCCCCTTTAAAGATAATTTCACATAATTTAATGTCAAATGCCATAAAAGAAATATTTAGCCCTAATTAATTTTAGGCAAGATGACTTTGTATGAAGATAGGCATATTAGTCATGCTCTTAATCATTAACTATAAAAGGAGAATATATATCATATGCAAGTTATGTTATTTGTAAATTTGATTATAACAAATAACATAACTCAATACTATGAGAATCGTAACTAAAAAAATAAAAAAAAGAAGAGAAAGTTATAACTAAACATTACATGAAGTATAATTAAATAACTCTTGGTTCATAATCAAAATAATATTATAACGAATATTATAACATGTCATAACTAATATCACCACAGGTCATAACTAAACACATAAGGATCGTAACAAATGATGCATATGGTACACACTAATACCCAAAGATAAAATTATTGTGTAATCAAAAAAATGTTTAAAATTTATATTCGGACGCGTGTGATTTATATCCATAATAAATTTGATCCATATTTTAAATTTTGAATATTTTTATCTACAATTGCATTGTTGATTAAAATGAAATCCGTATACACATCTCTCTGGGCTTGGTTTCTCAAATTATTGTTTCAAATCAGATACTTAAAACAATTATCTTCTCAAAAGTTTTCATCATTTCCCTAAATTCACAAGAATTTTCATGAATTTTTTTTTAATTTTTTAGATAGCATTATTCTTTCCATATTTTCTTTTGTTATGAGTGGAAAATATAAAGGTATGAAAATCTCCAAACAAGGGATGTTATACAGAACTTTCCACTTCCTAGGAAGATTTCTTATACTCTTTCCGTTGTGGAATTGTTTGATCACATCCAAACATGTAAAACTCCTGAATGATAGAAAACTAAAGAAAGAGGAAATTGATCACATAACGGGCAATGCTTTTAGCCCTCAGAAATATTCTAATTAATTAATCTTCTAAGATAAGTCATTAGTGGGCCCAATGGCCGACCAATTAGATCATCACCATGTCTAATTTGTGACGGCACGATACAGACAAAGCTAGTTAATGAACAAAAATGATATGATTAAAAATGGTTGTTAATAAAAAAATATGAAAAAATATCTAGGGGCTGTGGGTGGGGTTGCCATGGATTAGGGTTGGGATTAGGAATAGGACGTCACTGACCTTTTTTTTTTTTTAAAAAAAATGCTAAGCATCTAGATGTTTTATTAATATTTTTTTATTAAATAATAAAATATTTAAGATATTTCAGATTACTCTTTCTTTAATTTTAAACCCAACCTTGATTGTTACGGTTTGGCTTATTCCATTTCTTCTTCTATGTAGGGGGGCGTCTGAAGTGGATTATAAGCGTGATTATAATTTATTTTAATTTGAAAATTTATATCAGATTGTTTAGTATATTTTTTATTTATAGTTTTTTAGGTAAAAATAATTTAAATAAATTGAGAAAAATTAATTATTTAGAAGCTGAGAAATGAGTGCTTTTGATTTCTATTTCTGATTATCAAGCTTTAACTTACAATAAGATGTACTAAACAGAACCATAGTACTCACTTTTCTCTCTCTCTCTCTCTCTCTCTTTTTTCTTCTTCTTGTTTTTTTAGGGGATTTGGAGCAAAATCATAGCCTTTGTTTGGCATGTAAAATTAGGGTTAAAATAGTCACAAAAAGATAAAATAAGGTAAAAAGCTAATAAAATAAAATATCACATCAAAATCATAATTATTTTATTTTTTCTCTCACAAAAGTCAAAAAAGTAAAAAAATCATCTCAAACGAGACTTTTTGGCCCGGACTAAAATAATAAAAAAATTTAAAAAGTCAAAAACCGACCCACTTTCCAAACGAAGAGATAATAATCGAGCATTTTAATATTACTTACTAGGATTTTGTTTTTAGAATTTATTAGAAAATCCTCTTTCATATATTTGTATCCCAATTAGTCCATAAAATATTCTTATATTTAAATAAGTCTTATTATTTTAGACATTTGATCAACAAAATCTTAATTATCATATTTAAGGTATTTTATGGACAATTTTACCCTTACAAATATTTTTTGAATCCTTACCAATTTGGTGATGTGAACATTCACATTAAATAAATTTGACAGTGTGAATATTCACATCATGAAATATTCACATTGTCAATATGAACATCAATGTGAACTTCACCCTATTATTACTAGAGGTATTTTGGTAACTATGTCACTCAAAATAATTTGAAATAAGTGGAACATAAGTAGGTGAAGAGGAATTTAATACGGTTTTTATTTTTTTTTTATTTTAGTTTATTTTTTACCCTCAAATGACAGAATAAATTAATAAATATATTGACCTCCTCTAAAATTTATAAAAAAATATGATAAACTTTACAAATTTGACATAATTACATTAAGATCCCTTTAGGTTTAATTCACATAACACTTCACATCACTTCAACTTCAATTCACATTTTACGTTTTTTCATAAGAAGTCAAAAAAAATACTAATCTAGCATTTTTCAAACAATCACTTAGTTCACTTTTCATTAGAAATTTGATAGTGATATGAATGAAAAAATAATGTCATATTTTTTATACTGAAATATATTTTTATATCTAGTTTATCTTTGTGCTTTTAAATCGTTTGTACTAATTTTAATCTATTTATCTTTACTAAAATAGAAATTAATGTAATTATACAAAATTATATGCTTAATTATATTTTCTATAAACGGCGAAGAAAATTAGTATAATTTATCTTAAATTAAAATGTCGATGACGAGTTTAACAAAGTGGACCTTGAACTGTAAAAAAGTCCAACACAGGCAAAACAAACCAAATCCTTGAAAATTCCAAGCAAATGTAAGGCTGGCAAAATATCAATGTAGGTGGGTAGAGCTCTACCACTTACAATGTGTAAAATTTACATTGAATATTTAAGCCAAAAAAAATTATGTGTAAAATTTAGCAAGTTGGGGTTAGATGAATGTTTGTTTAAAAATCGAAATGTAAACCAAGAAGAGTGATCCAAATGAACCTAGACGAACAGACAATTGTAGAGTAATGTTACAGTTATGAACTTTTTAGTTTAGCAGCTCATGGGCTTGCATTGGAGATAAATATGAATGGTGAGGCATATTACAATAATAATGTCTTGACACATAAAGATGATATAGTATAAAGAGATGATAAGTAGAACATTAATAAAATATAAAATTGTGTAAATTACAAATGCACATCTTGAAATTTGCTTAAAGTACAGATTGCCTCTTATAGTTTGAAAAATTACAAATATCTCCTTGTTAAATTTTTTTATTTAACAGAATTAACTAAAAAAAAAAAAATTTCATAATTGCTCTCCTATACAATAATAAAATTACCTAAATTATTAATTGAAACATATTTATAATATCATTAAAAACTGTTAATTGACTTGATGATTTATTAATAAAATAACTGATTTGTTATGAAATTAGAAACCTTAGGGGGTGGAATGTAATTTTCAAAACAACATGGGGCAATTTATATTTTAATAAAACCTCAAGGGATGTATTTGTAATTTACCCTATAAAATTCAACCAGCCGGGTTACACGTTAGCCATGAGTCTTTATACTAAGAGATTAGGAATTTGATTCTTCCAACTATGCATAAGCATTTCTAGTTATATTTGTTTGAAATAATTCATGTGTGTTTTATTTTTTATTTTTTTAAAATTTTAGAATTTGTTATATATTTATGGTCGTGTTAGATTTTCTTATGAAATTAATTGAATATCATGTTCAACGTAATCCTTATTATAATATTTGTAATTTCTTCTATTGATTGATTGAAAAAACATAATCAAATTCCTAATATGCTAAATGCAAAGATTAGAAATGGAGAGTAATATTATAAAGTAGTTGATTGGTGAATGGTTTTCAATAGATGAGTCCATCAGTACTGTCCACATCTTATTAGTTAGGCTTCTCTCGTCAGCCAGCCCAGCTTTTAAAATTTTGACCTTTAGAGGTTTGTAATGTAATGCTATGTAGAAAAAACAAATGTTTTAGGTAGCCTCCTTATTTGTTGGCCTTACTCCAATTAATCATCAAAGGTCTGTCTTTTAGGAAAATGTTATGATACACACCATTGAAAATGTGTGTATCTGTTCGTTTTTTTGGCTTTCGAAAGTTAAAAATGTAATTAGAGCGTATTAGTAAGAATCAATAAATCCTTACAGAAATAGTAAATGCCAACCAATTCGTCAGACAATTGTTTCAAAATTCTTTTAGCCTCAATGAGGAGGACTTTTACTAGTGACTTGTTTTTAGGAGAAAATTCAGAGGTATTAATGAAAAGTAAAAAGAGGGAGAGAACAGTGTTAGAATTTAAATTTCATTAAGTAAACGAATGTTTACAATAGTACCTTCACATTTCCACAGCTTCGAAAGGAATACAACAAGAACAAGCTAGCTTAGAACTACTCCTAAGAATTTAAAATGTAGTGCAGTAAAGTAAAAAGCTAGAAAGAAAAACATAGCTGTCGAAGTGGATGATAACTGTCGAACCGGGTTACATGTTAGCCATGAGTCTTTATATTAAGAGGTTAGGAATTCGATTCTTCCAACTATGCGTAAGCATTTCTAGTTATATTTGTTTGAAGTAATTCATGCGTTTTTTTTTTTAATATTTTATTTATTATTATTTTTTAAATTT